TTATGAGTATACAAAAAAGATTTTCTCGAAACTAAATCAATGATACGGTAAGAAATTAATCAAGAGGAGTCGATAGAAAAGTCTGATGTTATTCCACTAAGCTTTATTCTTCCACGGCTTTCAGGTCTTGTCTGATCTATGCTTATGCTTCTTTATATCTTATTCTTTTTTCAGTATCCTTCTTACTGCAGCACAGATTGAGAGGGAGGAAATCAGAATAAATTCGAATTTACACTTTCCATGTTTTTAGAAATATTACTCCATATATGGCTTTCCAGATAGTGAAATCAAACGATTTCCATTATGGCAAATGAATGCAGGTTTTACTTACAGTGAACAAAAATTTAAGAGTATGTATTTACAGAGAAAGTGTAAGTATATACCCTTCTCTCTTTCATCTCTCCTCTTTGTTATATTGCCTTTTACTTCTTTAAATTATTTCTTGTTATATTTTCTGATATCTGCATTTATAAAACTGGATCTTCTGCAGCGGAGACCATTTACTAATTTACATACAGGCACTCATTGGGTGATGGGGCCGAGATCTATGGAAAGTAATCTCGTAAAACTTAGAAAATTGTATCATATTGATAGAAGGTATTATTCGGATTGTATAACATTCGTTACTTAAGGAATTTAAATAGATGCTTTCTAGAACTTCACAAGCCTAGGTAGCTCAGTTGGGAGAGCGTTAGACTGAAGATCTAAAGGTCCCCGGTTCGATCCCGGGTCTGGGCACTTTTCAATTCAATCAAAGGTCGCAGCCATATCGAAAATCTACTTTTAAGTCATCTCTCTGGTTCCTGGCATTCTAATAACTTAAAACTGTTGGTTTTGTTCGCTTGTCAAGTGTATTACTTATACAAGCCTCGAGGAAACAATATTGCGTAAAGGCCTTTGGCACATTCGTGGGTTTTCTTGTTCTTCCCTTCGTTGTTATAATGTATGTATGTATATATATGTACAGCACATACACACACACACACACACACACACACACACACACACACACACACACACACACACACACACACACACACACACATATATATATATAATATATATATATATATATATATATATATATATATATATATATATATATATATATATATATGTATATATATATATATTATATATATATATATATAATATGTATGTATATATATGTATAGTACATATACACACACACATATATATATATATATATATATATATATATATATATATATATATATATATGTATATATATATATATATTACACATATGTATATATATATTTACATATATATGTGTGTGTGTGCGTATGTGTGTGTGTGTGTGTGTGTGTGTGTGTGTGTATGTGTGTGTGTGTGTGTGTGTGTGTGTGTGTGTGTGTGTGTGTGTGTGTGTGTGTGTGTGTGTGTGTGTGTGTGTGTGTGTGTGTGTGTGTGTGTGTGTGTGTGTGTGTAATTATGCATGCATATATGTATATATGTAGATATATTTACATATATATGTATATTTACATGTGTGTAAATACATATATGTATATGCACATCTATATAATGATATACATACATACATACATACACACACACACACACACACACACACACACACACACACACACACACACACACACACACACACATATATACTATATATATATATATATATATATATATATATATATATAAATGTTATGTGTGTGTGTGTATATATGTGCATGTGTATGTGTAAATACATATATATGTATATATATATATATATATATATATATATATATATATATATATATATATATATATATATTATATATAGATATATACATACATTATATATATGTATATATATATATATAATATATAATATATATATATATATATAATATATATATATATTATATATATATATATATATATATATACACACACACACACAATGTGTGTGTGTACACATACACAAATATACACCTATATATACATAAATACCTTTGTACAATATACATGGGTTTGTGGTAGCTCTCATCTTCATGATTCAGTGATTATAACCCCGCCCAACTCAGACCCGGGATTATTGAAGGGAAGTCTGTTTTATATCCAGGCTATACTGTAAAAAAGCCTTGCCTAAAATAATTCCGGGTATAAGTTAGGCTAGGCCAGTTTACATCCCCAGGTATAAAATGGGCTAAGCCAGAATATATCCCTTCCCTTTTAAATGTTTTATGATTTACTATAGTGATAATGCTGATCATGTAATGATTTCACAACTGCAGAGACTCCTTGTGAATTGTGGACTATTTATACAGAGCACTATATCAAACTTAAAAAAAATGAAATGTGTATTCGATGATGTGGAAACATTCTGTCACTGATCATTTTGCGTGCTTTACAAGCAATGTTTTGAAAATCTGACATTTATGTGCATGGCAATTTTTATAGACTTTAGTCTGGGAAAGTGTTTAGTCGATGATGGTCAAAATTGATAAGTATAGATTATTTGTTACTGATATCCCTTTTTGTGGCCTGTGTTATTATTATTATCATCAATATAATGATCATAATATGATTCGTATTATCATTACCATTGTTATTAATATCATTATCATATAGAATTATCATTCTTCAGAGTAATATTAAGCCTAGGTAGCTCAGTTGGGAGAGCGTTAGACTGAAGATCTAAAGGTCCCCGGTTCGATCCCGGGTCTGGACACTTTCACGGGCAAATAAAAGGTGTGAAGCCATACATATCCTTTTAAGAATTTTCTCGCTGGTTTCAAACATTTTGGTTAGTTAACACTTCATCACATAGGCATGTAAGTGGAGAAGTTTTGATACTCTAGTGATTGAATTGATGTATTTATTTGAAAATAAAGATATACATGATGCAGTAAATCGTTTTCATTCACTCGTATTAATGTTGTTTCTTTACATGAACGATATGTAAGTGCATAAAAGTAACGTTCATTCCGTAATATTTGATAACGTAATACGTAGGAGAGGACAAAAGGACTACGCAAACATCTACATAAAACATCTTTGTATTGTACTTACTCTATTGTAAGCATAATATTGTATTATGGCTCACTCAAACATTCACTCTCTCTTGGTTGCCCCTTTCATAGGTAATAACTAATTAACTGAAAACATTCTGACACTATCCTAAGCCTAGGTAGCTCAGTTGGGAGAGCGTTAGACTGAAGATCTAAAGGTCCCCGGTTCGATCCCGGGGCTGGGCACTTTTGAGATCAATCCGAGGAAGTGTCGCCATGAAATAGCCATTTCGGAATGTTTTCACCCGCTCTGGTATTTCAGTAACTTCATACTGATCTTTATCTTAGGATGTCGTTCCTGCTGTGGTATTACATCGAAATAGTGTGGTAATGCAATTTTTTGTATATTCTTTTCCTTGGTTCTTGTTCTTGCTACTATGGTAATGTAATACTCTTTATCATACTGGTAAGTCGGGGTATAAATACTGCTATGATCATGATGAAATGATGATGATAGTGATAATTATCCTGATAATATTTTATCATATTGATCATCATCATTGTAATTATAATTATTACATTACATGATAATGATATTTATTGTTATGATCATTGTTAACATATTTCACAATCATTGTTATTGTTATTATAAGCCTTAATGGCTCAGTTATCATCTAAAGATGATAACATTTATAATAAAAATGAGGATGATAATAATGACAATCATGCTGCTCCTGATGATAATCATCATCGTCGCCGTCGTTATCATCTTCCTGATTATAATCATCATCTTTATCATCATCGTCGTCATTGTGGTTATCATCTCCATCACCGCCATCATCGTAATCATTGCCATTATTAATATGATTATAATGATATATAATATTAGCACTATCAATATCATTATCATTATCTTTACTGATATTAAAGTAATAATCCTTGATAGCTCAGATGGGAGAGCGTTAGACTGAACATCTAAAGGTCCCCGGTTCGATCCCAGATCTGGGCACTTTGAGGTCATATAAAAGGTATGAAGTCTGCTATTACCTTTTAAGAATTTTCTCCTCGCTGGTTACAAACATTTTGGTAGCTTAACCCGTAATCACGTATGCATGCAAGTGGAGAAGTTTTAATACTCTAGAGATTGAGCTGGTGTATTCATGTACACGTAATTAGCAGGGTAGCAGTTAACTCATCATCTATTGTGACGATTTTGGAAAAAAAAAAAAAAAAACACTGAAAAAGACAGATATGAAGGAGAAAGTCGTTTTCCTTTACTCGTATTTATGTTTCTTTCGATTTCTCCCGTGTCCTTTACTTTAACGATATGTTAAAGTGAGAAGCAGAAGTAGGAAGATAGTAGGTTATCTATATTTATAAACATATGGGCCTTCTGAGAAAATATAGAAGAAATTTGTGGGAATATAAGAGCAGAATTCGTTAGAAGATTAGAAAACATACAAAGAATTTATAAGGAAATATACAAAACCATTTGAAGGATTTACTTAGAAAATCTACAAAGGTTAAATTTTAGATTTAATAGCCAACAAGATTTCTGATATGGATTACCTATTTTATTCTGCCATGATTTTCAGCTACCACTGCTCTTGCGTGATCGGGCGTGGATGAGATAATTTGCTATGCTCATTTGATAGAACTGTAACCAAAGCTGTCTAATACGTATAATTCATTAAGTATACATGTGTTTTCTAGGTAGCTCAGTTGGAAGTACGTTATTTTGAAAATCTAAAGGTTCCCGGTTCGATCCAGTCTGGGCACGTTTGCGGCCTCAGAGCGTGTCGTCATGACATATCTGATTAGAACTTTTCGTAATGGCTCTAGGTTTCTTATTAATGTACTTACAGTAGCAATGGCATATCAGGAGATGAATCATTATGCTAACATGCTATGCTGTTTCTATGTTACATACAAATGATGTGGTAATCTTTAAAAAGTTATTATTAATGACATTTTTGCAGAAAAGGAGCGAGAAACATATATATAAAAGGTAGGTGAGAAAAGTCTTCATTTCGAGCTGGAGGAGCTGCCTGCGAGGACGTGCCGGAGAACTGCTGCCGAAACGAGCCGGAGCTGCCTGCCGACGACGTGCCGAGCTGCTGCCGAGGACGTGCCGGAGCGACTGCTGCCCGGAGGACGTGCCGGAGGAGCTGGCTGCGAGGACGTGCCGGAGGAGCTTGCCTTGCGACGACGTGCCGAGGAGGAACTAGGCCTCGCCGATGGTGACACCGGATAAGTCCATGTTGTGCCCATTCGAGCTGGAGGAGTGCCATGGCCCGAGACGTGTCGGAGGAGGTTGGCCTGCCGAGGACGTGCGGAAGGAGAGCTTGCCCCCCCATGCCGAGGGAACGTTGGGCGGAGACCAGCTGCCCTGCCGAGGAACGCGTCGGAGGAGCTTACTGTCGATGGGAGGATACCCATGGACGCGGACCAAGAACTTAGCCTGCCGAGGACGTGCCGGAGGAGCTGCCTGCCCGAGACCGACAGCCGGGAGGCTGTCCTGCGAGAACGTGCCGGAGGAACTGCCTGCTGGAGGACGAGTGGAGAGCAGTCTCTGCCGAGGACTTGTGCGGAGGAAACTGGCTGCCGAGGACGAGCCGGGAGGAGCTGCCTGCGAGGACGCGCTTGGAGAGCTTGACAACAGCCGGGACGGGCCGGAAGAACTGCCCTGCGTAGTACGTGCCGGAGGACTGCCTGCCTGGAGGACAGCCGGAGGGAGCTTGGCCTGCCGGAGGGACGTGCACGGAGGAGCTGCCTGCCCGAGAATGCGCCGGAGGAGTGGCCTGCCGAGACTGAGCCGGAGAGTGCCTGCCGAGACGTGCGGAGGAGCTGCCTGCCTGAGGATTGCGCCGTGTAGGAGCTCCTATTGCCCGACGAGGGAGTGCCTGAGGAACTAGCCTGCCATCGAGGGACGAGGCCGGGAGGGAGCTGCTGTCTGAGTTGACGAGCCGAGAGGAGCTGCCTGCCGAGAACGATGAGGCCGGTGAGGAAAACTGCCTGCTGAGGACGAGTGGAGGGAAGCCTTGCGATGGGCGACGTGCCGGAGGAATTCTTGCCTGCCCGAGGACGAGACCGGAGGAGCTGCCTGCCAGACTGGACCGCCTGGAGGAAGCTGCCTGCTTGAGGACGGTGCCGTGAGGAACTGCCTCCGAGAGCGCGGGGATGGAACCTGCCTCCGAGGACCGAGCCGTGAGGGAGCTGGCTGGGCCGAGGACGTGCCGAGCGAAGTCTGCCATGACCCGAGTGATGTGCTGCCGGAGGAGCTGCCTGCGGCAGACGAGCCGGTTGGAGTTGCTGGTACCTGAACGGACGTGCCGGAGAGCTGCCTGCCAGAGGGATGCGCCGGAGGAGCTGTCCTTGCGTAGGGGGACGTATGCCGGAGAAGATGCCTGCCTGATGACGTGCCCGGGAGATCTGCTTGGGCCAAATGGTCACCCCGTAGCTTGGTGAAGGGAAGGCTGCCTCGCCGAGACGTCCGGAGTGGAAAACTGCCCTGCCTAGGTCGAGCTGGAGGAGCTGCATGGATGCCGAGGACGTAGCTGGAGGAGCTACGTCTATGGCCGAGGACTCGTGCGGAGGAACTTGCCTGATGCCGAGTATCTGTTCGGACGCTGTGACGACTTGCCTGCCAGAGACGTGCGAAAGGAGCTGCCTTGGCGAGGACGTTGCCGGAGGAGCTGCCTTGCCGAGGACGCGCCGTAGAACTGCCTGCCGAAACGAGCTGGGAGGAGGCTTGCCCTGGCGAGGACGTTGCCGTGGGAGTGTCTGCCGAAGACGCGTCGGAGGAGTACCTTTACTTGCCGGAGGAGTGCCTGAGGAACTGCCTGCGAGGACGTCGCCTGGAGGAGCTGCCTGCCGAGGGACCGAGCCGGAGGAGGCTGCCTGCCGGAGAACGCGCCGGAAGGAACTTGCCCTGCCGAGACGGAATGGCTGGAGGAACGCTGCTGGAGACGAAGCTGGGAGGAGCGCTGCCGAGACGTTGCCGGAAAGGAACGCTGCCCGAGGACCGAGGCCGGAGAGGTGCTGCCGAGGACGCGCTGGAGGAGCTGCCATGCCGAGGGACGTGCCGGAGGAACTGCCTACCGAGGACGTTGCCGGAGAACTGCCTGCCGAGGACGAGCCTGAGGAGCTGCCTTGCGAGGACGTGCCCGGAGGAGCTGCCTGGCCGAAGGATGCGCCGGTAGGAGCTGCCTGCCGGAGGACGTTTGCGGAGGAAAATGCCTGCCCGAAGGTTCGCACCGGAGGAGGCATGCTCCTGCCGCAGTCATCCGAGCTGGAAGAGGAGCTGCCTGCCGAGGACGGTGCTCCGGAGGAATGCCTTGCCGAGGATACGCGCCGGAGGAACTACTGCCGGAGGACGTGCCCGGAGGAACTTGCCTTACCAGAGGACGTTGCCGGGATGAACTGCCTGCCGAGCCGCCCACAGAGGCCGGTGTCCGGAAGCTGCCTGCCGGAGGACGGTTGCCGGGAGGAGCTGCCTCCGAGGATGCGCGGAGGAGCTGCCTGCGAGGACGTTGCCGGTGAGCGAACTAGTCCTTTGCCGAGGTCGGGGCACCGGGAGGAGCTGCCTGCCCGGATTCCCTGCATGCTGGGGGAGCTGCCTGCCGAGGGACGTGTCGGGAGGAGATTGCCTGCCTGATGGACGCGCCCCGGAAGGAACTACTGCCGAGGGAAGAACCGGAGAGGAGGCGCCTGCGGAGAGACGTGCCGGATAGGAAACTTGGCCTTGGTCTGAGGACAGAGCCGAGAGAGGCTGGCCTTGCCGAAGGAGAACGCGCCGAGAGAGCTGCCTGCCGGCAGGACGTGGCCGGAGGGAGGCTGGCCTGCCTGAAGGAACGTGCCGGAGGAAATGCCATGCCGAGACGAGCCGGAGCATGCCTGCCGAGGACGTGCCGGAGGAGCTGCTGCCGAGGGACGTGCCGGCTGCAGGTGCCTGCCGAGGGACGGTGCCGGAGGAACTGCCTGCCGAGGTCGCACCGGAGGAGCTGCCTGCCCAGTTTCGAGCTGGAGGAGCTGCCTTGCCGAGGACCGTGTCGGAGGAGTTGCCTGAGGACGTGCCGCTGCCTGCGAGACCGAGCTGAGGAGTGACCTTGCCGAGGACGCGTCGTGAAGGATCTTTACTGCCGAGGTAGGTGCTCTCGAGGAACTGCCTGCCGAGCGCACGTGCCGGTAGGGACGCTCCTGCCGATGGACGAGCCCGGAGGAGCCGCCCCTGCCGAGGGCAACGTTGCCGGGTAGGAAACTGTGAACCTTGGCGAGACGAAGCCGGAAGCTGCCTTGACGAGGGACGTGCCGGAGGAGGGTTGCCTGCCGAGGAGGCCGGAGGAGGAAACTGCCTGCCGAAAACAGGGTTCGCACCGGAGGGAGCTGCATGCCCAGTTTTGCGAGCTGGAGGAGCTGCGCCTCGCCGAGGGAACGTGGTCGGAAGGGAGTTGCCTGCCGAGGACGTGTTCGGAGTGAAGCTGGCCTGCCGAGGGACGATGCCGGAGGAGCTGCCTCCGAGGACGCGTCGGGAGGACAGCTTAACTGCCGAGGAAGGTGCCTGAGGAACTGCCTGCCCGGAGGACCGTGCGGGAGGAGCTCCCTGACCACGAGGACGAGCCGGAGGGAGCTGCCTGCCGAGACACATAGTTCAGTCATTTGAGTGTATTAGTTTAGTAGGAGAGTGAAACAAAATAAAGAAAACTAAAGATGCCGGAGGACCTGCCTGCCGAGAACCGGAGCCGATGGCTGCTGCCTGAGCAGGAAGTGCCGGAGGAGCTGCCTAAGCTTAAAGAGGAAACGTGCCGGAGGAGCTGCACTGCGCGGAGGATTGCGGCCACGGAAGGCAGCTGACCTCACGACTGGACGTGCGGAGGAAAACTGCCTGCCGGGAAGGTCGCACGGAGGAGGCTGCCCTGCGAGTTCGAAGCTGGAGAAGCTAGCCATGGCCGAGGACGGGTGATCGGAGGAGTTGCCTTGCCGAGGACGCCGCCGGAGGAACTACCTGCCGAGGACGAACCGGAGGGAATTGTCTGCCTTGCCGGAGGACGGTGGCCGGGGAGGGAGCTGCCTGCCAGAGGACGTGCCGGAAGGAACCTGCCTGCGAGGAGAGGCCGGAGAGCTTGGCCTTGCGAGGGACGCGCCGGAGGAGCATGCTAGCCAAAGGAGGACGTGCCGGAGACTGACCTGCGGAGAACGTGCCGGAGGAAAACCTGCACTTGGCCGAGACGAGCCGGAAGCTTGCCCTTGCCGAGGGCGTGCCGGAGGGAGCTGCCTGCAGAAGACGTGCCCGGAGGGAGCCTGGTTCCTGCCGAGGACGTGCCGGAGGAACTGACCTGACGAGGACTCGCAGCCGTGGAGAGCTTGCCTGGCCGAGGACGCGCCGGAGGGAGCTGCCCTGGCCGAGAGGATCGTGTCCGGAGGGAGCTGCCTTGCCGAGACCCGTGCCCGGAGGAAACTGCCTGGCCCGAGGACAGAGCGGGAGGCTCTGCCTGAGGACGTGCCGGAGGGGCTGCTTGCGAGGACGTGGCCGGAGGAGCTGCCCTGCGGGCGTGCCGGGGAAGTGGACTGCTCTGCACGATTTTATCGTGTCGACCGGGAGGAGGCTGCTCTGCCCAGTTCGAGGCTGGATGTAATGTGCCTGCCGGAGGACCGTTGTCGGAGTGGAGTTGCCTGACCGAGGACGTAGGGCCGGAGGAAAGCTGCCCCTGCAACATGCAGGACCGGCGTTCCGGAGGTAGCTTACTGTCTGGAGGAGTGGTGCCTGAGGAAAAACTGCCCTTGCTCGAGGACGTGCCGGAGGAAGTGCTGCCGTGACGGACGGCCGGAGGACGCTGCCTCCGCCGAAGAACGTGCCGGAAGGAACTTGCCTGCTGAGGAACGAGGCTGGAGGTAGCTGCCTGCCGAGGACGTGCCTCGAGGAAAAGAACTGCCTGCCGAGGACGAGCCGAGGAGCTGCCCTGCCGAGGGACGCGCTGAAGGGCAAGGCTGCCTGCGAGGTGGACGTTGCCGGGAGAACTGCTACAGGACGTGCCCGGAGGAACTGCCATGCTGAGGACGAGCCCGGAAGGAGGTGCCTTGCCAGAGGACGTTGCCGAGAGGAGCTGCCTGCCGAGGATTGCGGCCGGAGGAGCTATTTGCCTGCCGAGGGACGTGCCCGGGGAACTGCCTGCCGAGGGTCGCAACCGGAGGAGCTGCCTGCCGGAGTCCGGAGGCTTGGAAGAAGCTTGCTGCGATGACGTGTTCCGGAGGAGTTGCTGCCGAGGGACGCGCCGGAGGAACTAACCTACCGAGGACGTGCCGGTAGGAACTGGGCCTTACGAGGAACGTGCCGGAGGAACTGCCTGCCGAGGAGACGGCAGCGGAGGAGCTTGCCTGCCGAGGACGTGCCGGAGGAGCTGCCTGCCGAGGGATGCGCCGGAGGAGCTGCCTGGCCAAGGGAGGACGTGCCGGGGAGAACTGACCTGCCGAGGTCGCACGGAGGAGCTGACATGCCGAAAGTCGGAGCTGGAGGGAGCTGACCTGCCAAGGGAAGGACGATGTCGGAGGAGTTGCCGCCAGATGGACGCGCCGGAAGTAACTACCCTGCCGAGGAACGTAGGCCGGAGGAGCTGCCTGCCATGAGACCGTGCCGGAGGACGGCTGGGCCTGCGAGGACGCGACCTAGGAGCTGGGTCCTGCGAGGGACGCGCCCGGAGGGAGCTGCCTGCCTAGGGACCGCCGCCCGGAAGAACTGGCCATGCCGAGGACGCCGCCGTGGAACAATGGCTTGATGGAGAAGAACACACGGGAAGACGAACCTGGTCACTCGTTGCGGAGGCCCGCTGTGTCGAAGCTGGTGGGTGGAAGTTGGTCACCCGAACGCGGGACGTGAACAACCAGCTTGGCGTGGGGAATGCGCGCCTAAGGACCTGTGAGCATTGGACCGTCCGTCGAGGCATGAAGAGCTGCCGCTCGCAGGAACTGCAGGAAGAGCTGCCGCTCGAGGGAGCCTGTAGGAGGAGCTGCCGCTCGGGGACCCTGCAGAAGCTTCCGCTCGAGGATCCGCATTGAGGAGCTGGCTCTCTAGGAACTGCAGGAGCTGCTGCTCGAGGACCTTGGGAAGAGGATGCCGACTCTACGCCGAAGGACCCGCAAGGAAGAAGGACCCCCGCTGCCTGCCCGCAGAAGGACCCGCAGAAGGAGCTGCCTGCCGAGGACCCGCAGGAGCTGCCGGCCGAGGATCCGCAGGAAGAAGCTGCCGGCCGAGGACCCGCAGAAGGAGCTGCCGGCCGAGGAACCGCAGAAGGAGCTGCCGGCCATGGACCCGCAGAAGGAGCTGCCAGTCGAAGACCCACAGAAGGAGCTGCCATTCGAGGACCCGCAGAAGGAGCTGCCGGCCGACGATCCGCAGAAGGAGCTGCCGGCCGAGGACCCGAAGAAGGAGCTGCGGTCGACGACCCGCAGAAGGAGCTGCCGGCCGAGGACCCGAAGAAGGAGCTGCCGGTCGACGACCCGCAGAAGGAGCTGCCGGTCGAGGACCCGCACGATAGTGACAATTATCCTGATAATCTCTTATCATATTTATCATTGAAATTATAATTCTTATATTACATGATGATAATTATTATTATCATCAATATCATATCAATATCTTAGCTAATGCACGTGATCGCCACGTATACTAACCTACATATCAGTAGTTAATGTATGTATGATGAAGTAGGCTAGTAATCGGATTTAAATATAATATAATTTGTCCTTTTGTAGAAATGCAATCAAGATATTTTACTGATCAATTGCCCCAACTGTTATTCATTAGAGATAGTGAATAGGTAGCCTATCAGTACAATATCATTAACTGCCTAGGTAGCTCAGTTGGGAGAGCGTTAGACTGAAGATCTAAAGGTCCCCGGTTCGATCCCGGGTCTGGGCACTTTTGAGATCAATCCGAGGATGTGTCGCCATTAAATATTCAATACAGAATGTTTTCCCCCGCTCTGGTATTTCAGTAACTTCATACTGATCTTTATCTTAGGATGTCGTTACTGTTGTGGTATTTAGTGTTAATGCAATCTTTAGTATATTTTCCTTTGGTTCCTGATCCTATTATTTTGGAAAAGTAAAAGCCTCTATCATATTCGCAAGTTGGGTTATAAATGCTGCTTTGATTATGATGCAATGATGATGATAGTAATAATCATGATAATTTTTTATATCTATCATCATCACTATCACCATTATCGTCACCATCGTCATTATCATTATAATGTATTATGATAATGATTATTATCATCATCATTGTTATCAATGTTATTATTAATGGTATTGTTATTATTAAGACCTAAATGGCTCAGTTGTGGAGAGCGTTAGCCTAAAAATCATCATCGTCGGCATTATTATTTTAACTGTATCATCATCGTCGTCATTATTATAATGATTGTAATATGTATTATCACTGTCATTATCATTCTGATTATCATTATGGATAAAATTATCATTAAGCATAGGAACTGATATGGTACATTACATAAAAAAAAATCAAGCCTAGATAGCTCACCAATATAGAAAGGAAAACATAAATCATTCATATATCTTTCTAAGACTGAAGATCTAAAGGTCCCCGGTTCGATCGCGGGTCTGGGCACTTTTGAGATAAGTCAGAGGGTGTGTTGCCATTGAATATCCACTGCAGAATTGCTACACAGGCTCTTCCTGATCATTGACTGAGCATGTCAGTGATATTACACTGAAATGATGTGGGAATGCAATTTTTTGTATAATTTTCTCATTGGCTCCTGGTATTTTTTGGAAATACCGTAAATCATGTCATGTCGCGGTACTAATATTAATTTGATCCTGTATTGACTGGAGTAATGTGGTACTGTGAAGGAAATTGGTAAGGAAACAAGTAATTTGTGAGGTGAGACCTTGTCTAAATTCTGATAAACAGATTGACCAATAGTACAGAAACGTTTACACTGATTCATATCTGAACGAATATATATATATATATATATATTATAATATATATATATATATATATATATATATATATATATTATATATATATAAACATACATACATATATATACATACATACATACATACATACATACATACATACATACATACATATATATATATATTATATATATATATATATATAATATATATATATATATATATATATATATGTATGTATATATACGTAACTGATAACTGAACGTAATATAACTGATATATGTATCACGATTTGGCTAAGCGCTGTGATATGTCCTGAACTATTTCCTGAAATCTGTGCTTGGGAGGAAGGGACACCCAAAATCTGTTTAATGGTGAACATGTATGGTTTTCTATCTCAGAAAGAGAACCTTTTATTCATCAACCAATTCATAAAGCACATACTTTTACTGTCAATTGTTCTCATACCGTTTTACCAGCTCTCTACTTTTCCTTTCTTACTTACAGGATTTATTCATTAAAGATAGGGCATACAACCTAAACGTAGGTAGCCTATCAGTACAAGATCATTAACTGAAAAATTTCTCATAATATTCTAAGCCTAGGTAGCTCAGCTGGGAGAGCGTTAGACTGAAGATCTAAAGGTCCCCGGTTCGACCCCGGGTGTGGGCGCTTTTGAGATCAATCCGAGGATGTGTCGCCATTAAATATCCATTTCAGAATGTTTTCCCCCTCACTGGTATTTCATTAACTTCATACTGATCTTTATCTTAGGATGTCGTTACTGTTCTGGTATTACATTGAAATAATAGTGTTAATGCAACCTGTAGTATATTTCCCTTGTTCCTGCTCTATTATTTTGGAAAATTAAAAGCCTCTATCATACACGCAAGTTGGGATATAAATGCTTTTTTGATTATGATGCAATAATGATGATAGTAGTAATCATGATAATCTTTTATATCTATCATCTTCACTATCACCATTATCGTCACCATCGTCATTATCATTATAATGTATTATGATAGTGATTATTATCATCATTATTGTTATCAATATTATTATTAATGGTATTGTTATTATTAAGACCTAAATGGCTCAGATGGGAGAGCGTTAGCCTAAAAATCTTAAGGATTGTATTGATAATAAACTAAGGATGATAATAATGATAATCATGCTGCTGATGATGATGATCATCATCATCATTATTATTGACATCACATCATTATCATCATCCCACCACCACCATCATCCTCGTCATCGTCGACATTATAATTATAATTGTATCATCATCGTCGTCATTATTATTATAATGATTGTAATATGTAATATCACTGTCATTATCATTCTGATTATCATTATTGATAGAATTATCATTAAGCCTAGACACTCATATGGCACATCACATACAAAAGATAAACCTAGATAGCTCTCCCAGTAAAGAAACGATGATAGAAACCAAGACATAATCATTCATGTAACTTTCTAAGCCTAGGTAGCTCAGTTGGGAGAGCGTTAGACTGAAGATCTAAAGGTCCCCGGTTCGATCCCGGGTCTGGGCACTTTTGAGGTCAGTCAGAGGGTGTGTTGCCATTGAATATCCACTGCAGAATTGCTACACCACCTCTTGGTATTTTAGTAATTTCTTCCTAATCAGTGTCTGAGCATGTTAGTGATATTATGCTGAAATGGTGGTAATGCAGTTTGTATAATTTCTCATTGGCTCCTGGTATTATTTTGGTAATACCGTAATCATGTCATTCGCGGTACTAATATTAATTTGATCCTATATTGACTGGAGTAATGTGGTACTGTAAAGAAAATTGTCAAGGAAACAAGTAATTTGTGTGGTGAGACCTTGACTAAATTCTGATAAACAGATTGAAAGATAGTACAGAAACGTTTACACTGATTCATATCTGAACGAATATTGAATAAAACAAAGGCATTCAAAACTTTCTTAAACGGAAAACCTAGTATTTCCACAATTCAAAGGTTATGTGCACCTGTGAAGTCAACATTTACAGAAAAGGGTCAAGTGATTTCAACCGTAAAACCTGCACATGATATATGTACCTGTGTAATATCCGCATCAGTTTATTTGTTTCTCTTCATCTACAATATTTTATCTTGTCTAGCTTAAGCAAGATGGGATTTGGGTATTTCACAATATATATGTATATATATATATATATATATATATATATATATATATATATATATATATATATATATATATATATATGTATGTATGTATATGTATGTA